AGAAAGTTTCTTCCTTCTTCATTCCTCTGTATTCTGCACGTGAAACATCACAGAAAGCTTCTTCTTTCTTCTGTATTCTGCACGTGATATATCACAGAAAGTTTCTTATTATCTTGTTCTTCTATAAGTATTTTCATGGAGATTATGACAATATATTGTCTTTTCATGTACGTGTTGGTTTTCTGGTTTATTCTTTCTTTATTGGTGTGAACTCAATGTCCACCTTTAGTGTTGTTAGATTTCTGACAAAACCTAATTTCTTATATCAGATTTCTCTGCGGTTGACCCATCCTCAATACGGTCCGTTGGGGCACTGGTGTGGCGGGATTTTGGTTCATAGACAGTGGATCCTGACTGCAGCTCACTGTATCATCAAGTACGCCTAATTGTTTACCTTCCGATATCTCACTTATATTTCTACTTTTCCGTTTCTCTATCTTTTTTATATTATTTTTTTTTGTCAATATCTGAGTCAATATTTCTATCGGTCCTTCCATCTCTCTGACTATATTTTTCTGTCTATTTCTTAGTCTTTTTTTCTATTTATGTGTCTGTTTATCTCATTGATTGTATAGTTATACTTCTTAATATTTTGTATATTTAAACATTTTACTGTCTATGATTTTTCTGTTAATTTATACAAATCGTTTATGACCTCAGAAATGACTTACTTAATTTTAACTGTAAAAAACGTATCATGAGATGAATAATACATTATTTTTAATCAAATGATGTATTACTACAACACTCTTAAAATAGCTAAAATAGATTTTTGGAAATAACATAACGTTTCTGCACTTCCACATGCACCCGATGACAACAAATTAACGTGGCACCTAATGACAATAGGTCAATATGCAAATAACGACAACACCTTAAGGTGGCACCTGATAACAACACGCCAACATGTACCTGGTGACGACACATCACATGTATCTAATGACAACACCTTAAGGTGGCACCTGATAACAACACGCCAACATGTACCTGATGACGACACATAACATGTATCTAATGACAACACCTTAAGGTGGCACCTGATGACAACACGTCAACATGTACCTGATGATGACACATCACATGTATCTAATGACAACAGCTTAAGGTGACACCTAATAACAACACGTCAACATGTTTCTGATGACGACACATCACATGTGTCTAATGACAACACGTCAACATGTACCTGATGACGACACATCACATGTATCTAATGACAACAGCTTAAGGTGATACCTGATAACAACACGTCAACATGTACCTGATGACGACACATCACATGTATTTATTGACAACACCTTAAGGTGACAACTGTTGTCAACACGTCAATATATTGACTTGTTAACCTAGTAAACATTTTAAAACCTCATTTGAGTAGTTTTTAACACCTTTATATGATTTAACGTACAAGATTCCCCTGTTTTTTTATTAATTTTCAATAATCAGATCACTACGTCCCTTATCTTTCGACAGTCCCTTGTTTTCCCTACCCCAGGCAATCTTTTGGAAAGTGTTGGTGGGAGAGCACCACCAAACTATACAGGAAGGCACTGAAAAAACATACAACGTATCACTTGTTTTGACTTACAATCGATTCCAGAACTATGACGAAGATATTGCTATGATGAGGTTATCTGAACCCGTGAAACTAACTGAATTCGTGCAGCCAATATGTCTACCAAAAGAAAACGAAGAATTTCAAGGTGCTGAATGTACCGCTACAGGCTGGGGCAAGGTAGAATATGGTATGTTACTGATACAGTCTGGGGCAAGGTAGAATATGGTATCTTACTGATACAGTCTGGGGCAAGGTAGAATATGGTATGTTACCGCTACAGGCTGGGGCAAGGTAGAATATGGTATGTTACTGATACAGTCTGGGGCAAGGTAGAATATGGTATGTTACTGATACAGGCTGGGGCAAGGTAGAATATGGTATGTTACTGATACAGTCTGGGGCAAGGTAGAATATGGTATGTTACTGATACAGCTGGGGCAAGGTAGAATATGGTATGTTACTGATACAGTCTGGTGCAAGGTAGAATATGGTATGTTACTGATACAGTCTGGGGCAAGGTAGAATATGGTATGTTACTGATACAGTCTGGTG